GCTGGCATCCTCATCCACCGGCGGAGGCTCCCATGTTTGACCGGCAGGGGATAACCGGACATTCCAGAACTTGTGGATCATATAACATTCAGGGTGCCAGTGTTGATTTTGACCGTTGCGGAAGATCTCGACAAACTGTTTTAGGATTGCAGTGTGACATCCATGGCATCTCTGGGCGAACTGGGTTGAATAGTGAAAGTGGCAGTAAACCTTACTCTCATGCTCATAGTAAGAGTCCTGAGCACCGAAGACGGTCGGACAAACGGAGCAGGTAAAGTGCTCAATGTGATACTTCCGGTCTAACGCTGTAATGTATGAACCACGTAGTGCGCCGCCGCACTCATGGCATAGGAGGTTTAGTCGTCTAAAGTAATCGGTTTCGCAAAGTGGAAATTGGCAACTTGAATCTTCTGAATCGACGGGGAAAAACTTCGAAGCAACGATCTCGCCACAGTCCTGATAGAAGGGTCAGAGTTAGAAAAGACCCCCAAAAGGGTAGCCAGAAGAAGCAACTTACTTCGCACTTGAAACACTCCAGATGAAAAGTACCGCCCAACGCTCGCACAAACTGACCAGTAAGAGATTCACCACACTTCTGACACAGGCGGGACGAGCCGCCGGGAGACTTATTTGGACGCCCGTTCACTCGCGAGCGATCTCGGGGTGTTGAACGGTCGCGGTGGCCAGCCTGGTCAGGACCCAGGGCACGACTCGAGCGCCCACCATCTTCCTGGTTCACTGGAGTGATTGGGCTTGGACCTGCTGTTCGCGTTGATGGTGAATCGAACGGAATCAAACTGTCTTCGGGGGATGTGGGTGTGTTTTTCGTGTAGTTAGCCCCGTAGCCAGAGGTGTCAACGGTGGGACGGCCGCTGGGATTGCCTGCGACCAGGCTGGCTGGGAGTCCACCGGGGGGGCATCTTGGTCCCCCGTCAGCAGAAATATGGTGGGGTTGGTTGGGTTGAATCACGCCGAACGCTGCATGCAAATAATTGATAGGAAGGAACAGGCGAGGCGACGTGGTAAACGAGATTGATGGGAAGAGTTAAATCGAAGATGCAACGCGGTTACAGGTTGGCGGGAAACTGAAACTGAAGGTAGGCTGGGCGCGTATGGTCGAGAGTCTGATTCTTAAATTAGAATCCCATGCTTTGGGTGGTTTACCCGGGGTCGCTGTTGTTCCCTAGAGTATACTCACTCTCACGCCATGTGAAGACACGTGGGGGTAGGCGATGCAGTAGTGACGGAAATTGCGCGCAGAATGACCGGTATCGAATTGGGAAGGTATAGAGGAAGGTTGCTCTGAACGAAGGGTCTGAAAGCGCGCAGGCTAGAGGACGCGGGGGCCGGTTTTCGAGGGGATTGAGAGCTTTCCAGGTGAGACCAACAGAGGGCGCGGATTATCGGGCGACAATCATCCCAAAGTGAACCGGCAAATTCCAGGACTCCAAGAACCAGATAGGAAAAAAAAATTAAGGTGCAAGGGCGAGGGGAAAAGAAGTGGGCTGGGGAGGAATGGAGATGGAGATGGCTTGGGCATTTGTTGCCCCCCCCTAATATTAGTTCGGGACCCTGAGGTCACGTGGTCTATACAATATCCATTTCTACTGGTATATGGAGAGATTACAGGGTACATTTAGGATATTTTGGATGTGATTAGAGGATATTTAAGATTCAATTAGATCGGTTTCAACTCAAGTATCTGGGAAATATCAACATTGCGTGGTGTACTATGTGCATGAACAAAGTAGACACAGCTTATGGTGTACTCCATACCGCCCCCATGTGCCATCAGTGCTTTTTATAGAACCTTCTGCAGATTAGTATTAATCAGCTTTAAGAAGTGATATTTCGTTTAGAGGTATATTTTTCCTTTGTGTGTTGTAGTCGTAATAGATGCAGCCTTAAATAACATTAAATGTCTATGTATTAATTATATGGGATTTTCTGTTGGTTCATACATGTGTACATAAATAAATGTACGGAGTATAGTTCACAGGTTTCATATCTTCAGGATAATACATCAAATACACGGAAAGATTCAATACACCAGGTACATACACCATAACTACATGTACATATGTAGTTATGTAGTTGGATATTATGATGTATGTTTTGTAATTTCCAAAGTTTCCAGGGAGATCCATGGAATAAGCATCTCATCAGACTGATCCTTACATATATACTCCATACATACATTATTTATGTATCTACTACATATGTGGTGATTACCCGTACAAGTGGAAAGTGGGAGGCTGGCAAAATGACGTGGGTAAACAAAAACCAAAATAGCGAAAAAGAGAAGATGTATACGATATACGAAAATTAGAAATAATGTAAACTCCTAGAAGAAAGATAAAAAAAGATAGAAAAGATCAAAATCAGAAGAACAAAATCAAATACAAAAAAAAAAGAACAAGAATAAGACAAAGGTGGAAGAAACAAACTTGTCCTTGCGGGTTCACCTGGGGTTGCGTTCCCTCCTCTTTCTTCTTTAAGGACACCCTGCTTTTGATAAACTTCAATTTTTCAAAGTTCACCCCCTACTTTCTTCCTTCTACAGTGTACGTGTGGACGCATGATCAGCTCACCCCACAACTCTACAACATAGACGTTGCAAGATGGGTGACCAGTGTACTCTACGCCTTGTCCGAGTAGGTTTCTAACTACATATATCTATTTGGGCAAATTACCCGAACCAATCACTAATCTCCGCATTTCTTCATCAGGAACTGAGACAGGTTGAGCGGAGTGAGCAACTTGGTACGAGATCTCCGTACCTGGGCTCCTGGACACTTGAAGCCACTCTATAGACACTCACATGCTGACCTCGGTACAGCTTTCACCGTCCGTTATGAAGAAAGCAACATTCGTGACATACAGGCCCTCATCATCGGACCCCCAGGCACCCCATACGAACTGGGCTTTTATGAGGTAAGAGATCCACCCATCCAAGACTGGCCCGAGCTCGCTTCTTTGAACTATTCCCAGGCTGCTAACCAATTGCAATTGTCCACCAGTTCTCGATCAAAATTCCGTCAGGTAAGATGGTCTTTTGCCGCGTAGCAAGCACTGGCTAAATGACAGCGACATAGATTACCCAGCAAATCCTCCGGTAGTGAAAATCCGGACAACCAACAGGGGCCGAACCCGCTTTGGTCCTAATCTGTATGCCAGTGGCAAGGTCTGCTTGTAAGTGCGCTTTGGGGACCATACAATTTCTACAGAGCCCGACACTGACATTTTCCAGGTCGATCTTGGGGTAAGCTGGTCTAACAACATAGATGGCATTTATGGAGCGCTGAACATCGCAACAGAACTTGGCATGGTTCTCGGGGTGAGCAATGGTCGCCTGCGCAGGGACTCGAATCTGTTATGCTGTCAATTCAGAGCCTCTTATCATCAAACCCGTATACACTGGAGCCAGGGTTTGAGGGGAATGAAAGGGCGAACGACACGGAAAACATGGAGATCTACAAATCTAAGGTGGGACCCCATCTGTCCAGAATAAGCTTCGCAATGCTCACATCTATACCAGATCCGCCATGAGAATTTACGACTGGCAGTCATCACGCCTCTTGAACAAGCCTTTCAAACTTCGTCCCCTCCTCGTCGAGTGGCGCTGAGGGTCTGTCACGAATCGAGCGCGGAAGAAGAGAGTGATATTGAACTGGAACCCGAAGCCGGATTGCTCGCTCAAAGCAAGTTCCACGACTTCTGCAAGCGACGCTTCCTGTGGTACCTTGAGTTCTACCAGAACGCTATTGAGAAAGGTATCGTGGATGAGGCACGCAGACAAGGAACGCCATTCATCCAAATGCCGTTTGAAGGATATGGTAATACTATGAGCGGAGAATGGAACTACATCGACCTGCAAACCCGTTTGTTGGCTCTTCGAGACCGATTGATGGAAGAAACACACAAGTGGCCCGTCGAGGGTCTTGCTCTGGTCAAGGAAGATGCCGGAATTGCAGTCAAACTGGCGGGTCAACATGAACAGATTGCTGCAGAAATGAACTCTTGTCCTCAAGTCATCGATCTGTCGCTGGTTGATGACAACCCGTTCGTCTGGAGACTCACCTATGTTGGTCGCAACGAGTCCAGACTGGAAGGTGGAATTATCAAGATAAAGATTTACATCAGTCCTCGACACCCAGAAGAACAACCCCGGGTCTTCGTCGAATCACCCTTGTACCACATTCGTGTCTCCAAGCTGGGTGTGTTGATGTACCTTCCTTCGCACGCTGAAGAAATCGGCCAACACATCGAGGGCATCATCAACACACTGGAAGACGACAACCCTCCATACAATCCCCTTATGACAGTCAACCCAGAGGCAAGCGCTCTGTGCTGGGGTTCGGAAACAGATCGCAGGCTCTACAGGCGCAAGCTTCGAGCATCTCTGGAAGAATCATGAGGTGAGGTAGCTCATTGTTCCGGAATGTGCGTATTTGCTGAGCAATGTGTCATGCAGAAGGTTATCCATATGACAGTATTCTGTTATCATTATCAACCCAACCTCGCTTGAACTGTATCGTTTCCCTGCCATTACTATGTCTTACTTTCCTTGAGTGATATCCCTCGAGATGGCGGGGAGACCGGGGATTATGGGGTATGCGGCTTCGCATGCCATTTAACACATGAAAATCGATATTGATATCAAACAGCATTCATAGGTACACAAAAAGGGCATCCGTAACTTTTGTGATAAAGTGTAATTCGTGTATACTGAGTACGTACAACACACGGATGAGACAATAATGGAAGACAGCACAAGGTATAGCTCCATAGCTAGGATGCATGAGATGAACAGGTTACCATCCTTTGGCTGTAACTATATAGATAGTCTGTGCGAAGTTCATCCAGTCTGGTATAACTGGGGGATGTTGGATACTCCCGAGATTGTCCCAAGAAGGGGCTTGGTTAGCCAATGTTAGCCAAAGTACAAACTGAGGGTTGGAATAGCCATACCAGGAATCTCATTCATAGCTCGATAGCAATCACAAATGGTAGAGTGCCCATAGCTGACGGGAGGCCTCGGACGGAACAGAAATATAGGGATCATGGTGCCACAGACCAATCCAGTAATCACAAATTCTTTGAATTTGTCGGCGTTGCGGGCGATTCTTGGGCCTCTGCCACTTGGGCAGTGCGTGGACATTTGCCCGGATGTTCAGAATATCAATCATCCTGGTTTCAACCCTTGCCAGCCCATTCGACATTTGACATTCGTCCCAGGACACTGAATAATGGTCTTTGAACATGCCTTTCCAACGCCGAGTCTTCTTTGGGTTCTCAAGGCTCTCGGTGATCACCTTGAGATCGGCCAAGATATTTGCACCTGGAATCGTGTGGCTTTGTGCTTGCGTTAGCAGGCCGGTGTGATCTGACCTTTTGTTGGAGAATTTGGGAGACATGGTGAAGGAATGTTGTCTGGAGGATCGGGAGTCCATCTCCAGACCATCAAGCCTGAGCCTGTGGCTGTCAAGCTCTGCTATCAGGGTATCAATATATACATGTCTGTGTGTGTGTAGAGTCAAAGAATTTTATCCTCTTCCTGTCACTTTCGACATGATGGATGACCTATCACCGAACTAGTGTTCAATGTTATTTCCATCTCCATTCAAATGTTTACACCGGACATGCAGTCCAAAGACTTTGGCCAAATACTTGGCGCGATTCAAGTTGAAAATCATGGGCACAAGAATATTCTGTCATGTCTTTTTTAGGTGTAAACAAAGGTGGCACAAAAAGCATACTTTGTGCACTTCCCATAGATAAATAACCAGGGATAATGTGGGTATTCGATAGCACTTGGGATTGATGCAAACAAAGCTCGGATACAAGGCTCAAGGGATGGTCCAGCGGTGAGTCTGTTCAAGAAATCGAATGGATATAATATATAAGGGTTTCTCTTTATTTTCGTCTTTCTGTTTGATTTTGGCAAATGTTTCCATTTACCAATAGATGGCGAACATAAACTGGTTGTCAGTTCGATTGCACCATAGAACAAGTGTGCTCATAGCAAAATAGAAGATAAATAGTTCATATCTCAATGTGAAGTAGAAGAAGTAGAAGAAGAGAAGAAGGAAGAAGAGTGCCAAGTTGGGGTCGAGCCCATAACCCGCACGGATCACCTGATTATCTCCGCTAACTTCCCCGGCCCCTTTTCACTCAACTCCCATCCCCAATCTACAAACAGCAAATCACATTATGTCGGCTAAAAAGCGCACACTGGAGTTGGGTAATGTCCTGGTGGTCGGAGGCTGCGGCTTCTTGGGGTGGCACATTGTCGATCACCTGCTGAACTTCCCCTCCGAGACCGACCCCAGTTACGCTCTGCCTAAGCCCGTTGGCGATGCGCGTTTCGAGTACCCGACTCTGGGATCACGCTACCCAGATTACCACTCGACTGTCTCTGTCGTTGACTTGCGCACCACCAACAACCGCCTTCCCGGCGCTAAGTACTACGATGGCGATATCACCTCCGCCGAGTCCATGTTGGAGGTTTTCCGCGCCGTCAAGCCTGATCTTGTTATTCACACTGCGTCGCCATCTATGATTGAGGGCAACAAGCCCCTGCTACGCAAGGTTAATGTGGAGGGAACGCGGACGCTCCTCCAGGTCGCTGGTGGCGAGCATGGCGATTGGGGTGGTAAGTGCAAGGCGTTCGTCTACACTAGCTCCAGCTCCGTGGTCCACGACACACAAAGTGATTTGAAGAATGTCAATGAGGAATGGCCATACATCCGAGGTCCTGCACAGAAGGAGTACTACTCCGAGACTAAGGTGCGTTTTTATTATTGTTATTAAACATAGTTTAATCGGGATCAATCACTAATCGGACCCCTTGGGTCTATCCAGGCCGATGCCGAGGAACTCGTCCTGAAGTACAACAAAACGTCCCCCAACCAGATGCTCACAGCTGCTATCCGCCCGGCCGGAATCCACGGAGAGAAGGATACAACAGTCACACACAAGATCCTGGAGCACGGCTCCCAGGCTTCAGACAGAGTGTTACGGATGCAGCTCGGTGATAACGACAACCTGTTCGATTTCACCTATGTCGGCAATGTGGCTTACGGTCACTTGCTTGCTGCACACCGGCTTCTCGCAAGCTATGACCTTCACGCGGCTGGCAAGGGCGGGCCCCTCGACTACGAGCGCGTGGACGGCGAGGCTTTCAACATCACCAATGATTCCCCCGTTTATTTCTGGGATGTCACCCGTGCCATGTGGGCTCTGATCAACCGTGTCGTTGAGCCGGAACAAGTCTGGGCTTTGCCCGAGGGTCTCCTTGAGACCGTCGGTGGTCTTGCTGAGACTGTCATGGGATTGTTTGGCAAGACCCCGCGTCTCACTGCCCGGACAGTGCGATACTCATGCATGACTCGCTACTATTCGACTGAGAAGGCCAAGTACCGCCTGGCTTACTTGCCTGTTGTGCCCTTGGATGAGGGAATTGCCCGTGCTGTTGGATACATTGTTGCCCAGCAACAGGCGGACGCAGGAAAGAAGGCATTGTAATCCGAAATTAGATCATGAGATTAAAAAAAGGCATCTTATGCTGTATTAATATGACTGTTTGCCCCAAAGAGGAAGAAAAGCCGTCAATACTATGACCCAGAAGATCGTACACCAGCAACCTTAGTTATAGTTCTATTTCCAGGATTATAAGATAAAAAGATCAAAAAGACACCCACAAGTACATACTTGATTTTTTAGATTAGTGGAGGATAATGATGAATTCCTAATGTAACGCGAGCTATCTCCTTGGTAGGGGTCACTTGTGTATACGTCGATTTGATGTACTTCCTGTGGTTAGCTGACCGGAAGCATTGCTTTAGTGTCGTTTTATGTAATGTAATACATCTGTGCTTGAGCGCCTGGGTTTGTCCTATTGGAACATAAATTGAAGTGTGCATGTCTAGTCTCTGGGGATTGGGCCTATGGTCAAGCTAGCGACATAGCGCTATCATAAGTGACATGGGCTGCTTACCACTGGACCTCCCATATATATACCTATGTCTCTCCAACTCTGTCCGCTATGAAAGATGTTACCTACATAGGTATATGTTATGTGCTACTTAACATCTCCATATCCCACGCTGCCATTCTTAGCTCCAGGTGTTGGGATTGGGCTATCATGAACATGTCCGAAGATGGCATCTCTTTGCACCGAGAACCTCTCAGTCAAACTGCATCTCTGACTGTGCAGACAAAGTTGAAGGGTTGTCTCTCTTCAGACTCACCAGGTTATTGCTACTAGTGATGCCCTCAGCGGTTTTTCGCATCCGTGGACGGTGAGCTAGGCGACTCAACTTACTAGCTCTGTGCTGATGGTCCTCTCCATTGAAGACCAACATCAGAATTTGAAGGGTGGTGGTGGGGACAAAGTGGACGACCAGCCTCTACCCTTGGACGTCCCGTAAGCGCTCTCCTCAACCCATCAGATCAGCCTCGTTATCCCCTTTTGATGCTGACTTGGTGTGCTCGACTTTCCGCAAACTCAGACGCGCAACGATCATATACCCAGTGCCCCACCTTCCTCATGATGTGGCCGGTGACCGCTATCTCCTAGATGCTGCAAGAGGAAGCCTGTCTCCTCCATGGGCACATTCTAGTGTGGTTTGGGGAAGACGCCAATTAGGTACGTACTGTTGGGTAGAATGGGTCATCCACTTACCATTCTTGTTTGCATTTTGTCAGCAGCCATTTTTACAACAATTAGGTAAACCAGTAGTGATGAATACCTAGTTAGATATGTAAATGTCAGCCAGAATATATTGTTGAAAATAGTTGTATATAAATATATAATATAACAGCCATGTCCTTTTGAAAGAAATGATTAGCAATAAAGGTGTTGTCCACGAGGTTCTGGATACGCAGATGTTACAAAACCACGTGACTATCTATAATGGGAAAGTGGGCCATATATCCACCCATGGATGAGCCTGGGCACTTTCCATGGTTGTGTTCTGTCAAAAGTGTGGTTCGGGGTGTTAAATAGTCACGTGAAAGTGGATCAAGCCATGGGTATTGTACTAGTCCTGCAACCCGACAACACATTTTACAAAATTTGATTCAAGCAAGCGGTTCTCCTATTTTCCCCTGCAACTCATCAGATCTCAAATCTCAAACCGCTGTGACAATGTCCGATCCCGAGAAACAGTGCTCCGGGACCGATTGCGACAATGAAGCTGGGACGTTGCAATGCCCGACTTGTCTGAAGCTGGGTATTAAAGGCAGCTACTTCTGCGATCAAGACTGCTTCAAAAGGAATTGGGTATGTTACATCTGTGTGTACATCTCTCTGACTAAGAATCTAACATTGATCGTACCTAGGCCACACACAAGGTGATGCATAAGACAAAAAATGGTAGCCACTATGCACCGGTTATTTATGGCTTTGTTCTCTAATCGCGGTATAGCTGGCGGATTTTATGACCCCTTTCCAGCATACCCATACACTGGCTCTGTCAGACCTGTATATCCACTCTCCCCGCGACGACCTGTCCCCAAAACAATCAAGCACCCCGACTGGGCCAAGACTGGCATTCCACAGCGTGAGATGCGCCTGAGCAGGTCGAAAGTCGATTTGTTGGATGCAAAGGGTCAGGAGGCCATGCGCAAGGTGTGCAGGCTGGCTCGAGAAGTACTCGACATAACCGCTGCAGCGATGAAGCCCGGCGTGACCACAGATTACCTGGATGAAATCTGCCACAATGCTTGTGTTGAGCGAGAGGTGAGTGGAGTTCATTCCTACCCCTACGTGAAGCATGTCAGGCCTTTTTGCTAAACCGCGGGCAGTCATACCCTTCTCCACTTAACTATAACCACTTTCCAAAGTCATTGTGTACATCTCCGAATGAGGTTGTATGCCACGGAATCCCTGATCAGCGAGTCCTTCTTGATGGCGACATTCTTAACCTCGATATTTCTCTGTACCATGGCGGATACCATGCCGATGTTAACGAGACTTACTACATCGGCGACAAGGCCAAAGCTGATCCGGACTCGATTAGACTCATTGAAACGACCCGGCAGGCCTTGGACATGGCCATCGAGATAATCAAACCAGGTGTACCAATTCGAGAATTTGGAAAGATCATTGAGAAACACGCAGCCTCTAGGGGCCTTGTCGTTGTCAAGACTTGGGGCGGCCACGGTATCAACTCGGAATTCCATCCTCCTCCTTGGATCCCCCACTACGCGAAGAACAAGGCTGTGGGAACATGTAAACCTGGGATGACATTCACGATTGAGCCTATCCTAGCTTTGGGGGGCAGCCGAGAAGTATATTGGCCGGATGACTGGACAAACGTTACGGTGGACGGCAAACGGACAGCACAGTTCGGTGCGTATCGAGCTCTCACAGGTCTGTTGTAAACTCTAGATGCTAACCTGGAAATCGATAGAACATACTATGCTCGTCACAGAAACGGGCGTCGAGGTTTTGACGGCAAGACTGGAGAACTCTCCAGGAGGGCCAATTCCTATACCGGAGGTTGCAAACGGAGATGCAATTGAAAAGGCAACGAAATAATTGTATGGGCGAGTGGAAACCGGTCACATATGGACTACTGACTGGAAAAACTCGAAACTCGGTGTATCAGCACCCATAATCTCGTATTTTGACCTATGTCGCTTGAAGATGGCCGCCTGTGTAAATCTAATTTACATAGACTCGGCCGATCAAGCAATAACGCACGAATTTCGAACCGTGCTAACATGTAGATGTCTCATACGATCTCCAATATGGTCTGGCCCAGGTTCTTTTTGCTGTTGTGCTTGTGTTGCGCTTTTCAGGTACGGCAGGTGAAATAGCAGCCCGGTGACTAGTAGATCGTGTAACGCGGTTGAGTCTGCTTCTGAGATTGGCCCGTTTGCCATAACAAGGGCGTCAAAGTTAGAAGTTTCACCAATGCCGGCGTAATTTGCACGTTACACTTTGTCATCCACCTACCGAAAAAACACCTCCCAGCACCTCCCATACGACTTTGATAAATATGAGGAGGTATGGAGGACCCGCGTGGACTACCGTTGCCGCTAGTGGGACACTAAAACATATACCAGCTGTAGGGTCGACACTGAAGGTGGAGGTATATTGGAGATACATATCCATGGATATGTATTTAAATTGCCGTTTTTCCGCACACGGATTGAGCACCGCCATGCTGATCAATCAGAGTTACATACACGTCTAATTGGATTATGACTTGTCATTGAGAATGAGTCAAAATAGTCACGTCGACCCCGTATTGATATTGATTAGTAGCTTGGGTCCTAGTTCCCCGCATGATGGTGTCTATTTAACCCCCCTAGAATATTCCATTTAGATATTTCCCACATTCAACGGAATAGAAGATATTTCTCTCTTTATCATATCATGTCACTCTTACATGCCCTTCGCCATGAAACTAAACCAGTTGCATCGTCTACTGTACCTCGCGAGCTAGATCTGACCCCCGCAATCCCAGTCGAACATGTTCCAGACACGCAGGTTTCCGTAGAAGAAAACTCGACTCCTAGAGATGGCCAACCTGTCTTTGAACGGACGCTGCCCAGTCGGACGACTAAATCGCGTCGAGTGGTCATTACCACACTTCTTGTTTCGGCTAATCTTGTACAGGTACAGTCGAGGCCGTCAACTGTCTTCATTATAAGAAATACCTCGATACTGACAAAAGTAGATGACAGTCAATTTTGCAGGCATTGCCGGAGGAAGCGCCTTGAGTGAATCATTGGGTGCTAAAGACACCTACGCCTCATGGATTGCTGCTAGTTATGCGTAAGGCACCCGGTATCCAGAAATTCACAATAGACTATCTCACTAACATAATATAGTCTAACCCAAGGTACCTTCGTGTTGGTTAGTGGTCGATTGGGAGATGTTTATGGCCATCGAGAACTCGTCTTAGTCGGGGGTGCCTGGCTCACCATCTGCACCCTAGCCAATGCCTTTTGTAACAACTTCTTCGCCTTTGTCACGATGCGGGCTTTAGCTGGTCTTGGAGGGGCATTAATCATGCCTAATGCAGTGGCTATGATATCCAGTACCAATCCCCCCCGGTCGCGTGCGAAATCTGAGTCTGGGTCTCTTTGGTGCATCAGCCCCAGTAGGAGGATATTTCGGGGCCTTGTTTTTGGGTGCTTTCCTGCAGCGAACAGAATGGAAGTGGTTTTTCGTCTTCATGTAGGTGATTCAATCTGTGGACCCGGTCCAGAAGTGCTTATATTACCTTGGTAACACAGTGCCTGTCTTGGTGTTATCACATTCACTCCTCTGTGGGGTTTGAGTCCGCGAGAACCTCCGGTCGATCGTCATGGAAAGATCGACTGTATTGGATCGACTCTTGGAACAAGCTCATTGATTCTGTTCAACTTTGTTTGGAAGTAAGTATACTGTTGATAGCAACCCTATCCATTGCATATTAACACCCCCACAGTCAAGCACCGAGTGTCGGTTGGTCAACCTCCTATGAGATTGTTTTCCTGGTCAGCTCGATTATCCTCTTCGGGGGCTTCTTGCTTTGGGAAAGGAACTACGCCGCGGAGCCCATCATGCCACTCGAAATCTTCAAAGCCCCATCTTTCCTCATGCTGCTCTTGGTCGTGCTCCTCAATTATATGGCTGTCGGAACCTTGATCTGGTACCAGGTCCTATGGCTCCAAAAAGTCTGGCATTGGTCTCCCCTCCAATTTGCTGTGGGCTGGACCCCATTCGTGATCTGCGCCACGGGCGCTGCCTGTCTCGCAGCATGGATGATCCCGCGAATGGCAGCACAATGGATCCTAGCCATTGGGACGGTCACGATCTTAATTTCTAATGTGCTCATGGCGACCGTGCCAATCCACCAATCCTACTGGCCCCAGATTTTTCCTTCTGTGGTTCTGTTTTCATTCTGTCCGGACTTTGTGTACACGGCTGGCCAAATCATTGCCAGCAACTCCGTCCGTCGAAATCAGCAGGGGATTGCTGCGTCTGTCATCGGCACCTTGAATCTGTATGGAAACAGCCTCGGACTAGGGTTTGCATCCACTATTGAGGTGCAAATTGCCCGCCGCTCGGGTAGCCAAATCATGGGGTATCGAGCGGCACTTTTCTTCGGGGTTGCCATCAGTGTCTTAGCGCTTATACTTGATATCTGCTTTGTGCGACTAGTCAAGGATGATCGGGAGGGATGGCATGAGGATGACCACATAGAGGAAATTGAGCTTACGGAACAGGCCGAAGCTACCGGCGTCCATCTACCGAATGTCAACCACTAAGAAGCTGGACATGACATGTCGATACTAGACTGGGAAACCGGCAAAATATCGGCAGACCGAACGTGGGGTGTCGGGAAAATGCCGGATTGAGATTGGAGTGGAAAAGGCCTCACCCAGTGGATAGAAGGTCAAGAATCCATTTGTCAAGGTTTTTTTTCTTTTTTTTTTCTTTCTCGGGTGACGTCCGTGATATCCCAGACCGCATGTCCCGTTTCCATATTTCCCATATACAAAGTCGTATGTTGCGTATGGATTTCCCCACGTTATGTTAGACTCGCATTATGATGGTTTTGCGGGGGATATGATCTCATTCAACACTCTCGGTGAGAGAAAGGAGCAGGTTTTCCCAAAAGCAAAAAAAGAAAAACTGCGGAGAGGTGGAGAGGCGGGGAAGTAGGGGAAGAGTACTCCGTAGGGGATTGGCCATTATTGTTGTATGCCGTATGCCGAACTTGGATTCCGTGTGGAGATCGGCTTTTCAGACTTTTCAGGCTTTTCAGCTCCCTTTTTGTTGGCCGGTTTCTTCCGTTTCGTTTAGTCTTTTGTGGGGTTTTTGGTCCTTTCTTGTTGGCCGTGATGTCCGAGAGCCGACCAAATCGCGGATCCCGTGACCGCGTGACCCCTAAAACTTCCCCGAGCCGAGACAATGCACGGGATGAGCTTGCCTGTGATACTCTATGGTTCTGGTTCTTAAATTATAATTATTTTGGGATTAAGGAAGCCCCCGTATTACCACATCCTCTTTACTCCTGTCATGTCAGATGCTCTCACCTCCGGCTTGCACTGGGGGATCGTCGCACACCCATGTTATGGACATGGATGTCATTCGTTGAAGCCGAATTCCCCTTCGGAACGCTTGCTGTTCTCGGATGCCCAGTCGGACGGCTCCACTATGACCCCCGCGTAAAATGTATATGCGATTTTCGGCGTGGGGGTACGTACCGGGGAAGTCCATAGTAAATACTAGCGCGGGGGGAACCATGAGAAGGGTTTTTGTTTCATCTTAAATAGAAGAACCTGCTCTTGTCTGATCCCCGGATTATTTGGTTTTCCTCACGATCACAACCACATACACACATATAATGGCAGACGATATCTCACGGGAAAACCGTGACCGGATAGAGATTGATGCCGAGAAAGAACGGATTGAAAATGTCGAACATATTGCCTCCCCACAGCAAGATGGCACTCCTCAGATGGATCCTGCTCGTCGGATAATTGTTGAGAAGAAGCTCAAGCGTAAGCTTGATGCCCGTTGCAGCCTTTTTGTCGCGATCTACAGTGAGTACTCGCCGCCTTCCAAACCTCCCCGACCTCCACGGGCGAGCTATACATCAACTTCACCTGACTGACATGACTCCTCGTGGACAGTTATGAACTATTTGGATAGAAACAATATGGCTGCTGCTCGTCTGAAGGGTTTGCAGGAAGATCTGAGCCTGAGCAACACCGAGTACTCAACATGTCTGAGTATCCTCTACGTCGGCTACATTATCATGCAGGTTCCTTCCAACATGTTCATCAACCGCATCAGCCGGCCCTCACTCTACATTGCCGTTGCTATGTTATTGTGGGGCGTTATCTCCACCTTGTCTGGAAATACCAAGAACTTTGGTGACATGGTGGCTGTCCGTTTCTTGCTGGGCTTCGTAGAGGCAGCATTCCTGCCCGGTGCCCTGCTCATTCTCTCCAAGTGGTACACGCGCCGCGAATTGACTACCAGGAACGCCATCTTGTTCTGTGGAAACCTTATCTCCAATGCATTCTCTGCTCTCGTTGGTGCTGGTGTGCTATCCAACATGCAAGGCGTCCTGGGTCACGCTGCGTGGCGCTGGCTCTTCTGGATCGAGGGCTCAGTGACTATGTTCCTTGCCATCCTCGCCGCGTTTATCTTGCCTGATCTGCCACACAATGCGCGCGGCTTCACCGAGGAAGAGCGCCAAGTTGCGCAACTTCGCATGATCGAGGACGTTGGCGAGGCTGACACCGACGGTGAAGAACTTGGTGCCTTTGGGGGTCTACTCATGGCTCTCAAGGACATGAAGATCTACGTGATGATGCTGACCTTCACGGCTTATGTTGTCGGACTCAGCTTTAATGCTTTCTTCGTAAGTCGGTTCATATCAAAACCCAATTTGTACACTTTACTGACTCTTTGCACAGCCTACCCTTACTGGCACTCTCGGATTCGGATATGTCCCGACCTTGTTGATGAGCGCTCCCCCCTGGGTTTTCTCCTGTATTGTCTCTGTGATCAACGCATGGCACGCAGACAAAACACAAGAGAAAGTCTGGCACATCCTCGGCCCGATCGCCATGGGAGCGGTTGGTTTCGTCATCTGCATGGCTACCAACAATGTCGCAGCTCGCTATGTCGCTCTATTCCTGCAGGCTGGTTCCTATGCAGGATTCATCGTATTTTACTCATGGATCAGTTCCTCATTCCCCCGTCCTCCTGCCAAACGAGCCGTTGCCATTGCCATGATCAACGCCTTCAGTCAACTCGGCAATGTCGCTGGATCGTACGTCTGGGACTTGGAAGAGAATGGGTACCGCTCAAGCTACGGAATCGTGCTGGCCATGTTCGGTGTGACAGTTGGTGGATGTTGGTATTTCCGCACGATGCTGGTCGGCTTGAACCACCAGCTCGAAGAGGGTGAGCTTGCCGATGCTGCTAGAGGCTCCACTGAAAACGATATCATCGATAGCCCAGATGAGTCGCTGCGTATGCGCAAGGGTTTCAGGTATCTGGTTTAAGTGTTCTCAAGTGCTTGTTAGAATACAATGGGCGGCACCAGAACTTAGGCTCATCAACAATTCAATTGCTCTCAATGCAAATATGCCATTAGACGTCTCTGATTTTCTATGTCAGGGCTGTATTTCCCGGTTAAAAATGAATATTTCGGAGTAGAGTCATTCTTGGTAGAACTACCAGAATCAGTTCTATTCTCTAATCCTATTCCACTCACCCCCGTTCTACCGGTCTTCACGAGTCAAATTGCGGTACTGGTTATTAGGATCCTGCTCCTCTTCCTCTGCCGATGGGATCGTCTTCTTCACGCGGCAAGGGGTGCCAACGGCAACCGAGAACGGCGGGATATCCTTGGTGACAACAGATCCGGCTCCAATTGTTGAGCCCTGGCCGATTCGCACACCAGGGAGAATAATCGCATTACTTCCAATCCAGCAGTCGTCTTCGATAAAGATCGGATGGCCAAACTCGACAAACTTGCGGCGAGAAAGAATGCTCGTATCATGGCCAGCAGTGATGATACTAACTCCAGTGCCAATTTGTACGCGGTCGCCGATGACAACTAGGCTGGTATCTAGTATAGTAACACTAGAAATTGTGGGTAAGTTTTCACAAGTCATGGCGAGAAGGCAGACTTACTTCCAGTTGAAGAAGCAATCCTTTCCGATGAGAATATTGCATCCATAATCTGGCAAGAATGGTGGTTCGATGAATGTTCCGTCTCCAACTTTGCCGACGAGTTTCCGCAATAACTCAAGACGCTTGTCGCCGATCTTGTCATATGTGACGGTCTTGGTGTCAAGGTTGTTGAAGTCTGCAGCAAGTCCTCGGCACAGATGTCGTGCTTCTAACAGTTTCGGGACATTCGGGTTGTACCTGACCAGTTAATAAACCATCTCATAAATATGTAAGTATATTGTGAATGATACATACATCATTCCAGATATCATACACTCATATTCCTCGCACAAGGGCACTCCTGCCAGTCCCCGAGCAAGCTCGATGATCTCAGGACGTTTCTCAGTGGCAGCCATTTTGAATCAAATATTTGATAAAAGCCAAAAAAAAAAGACAGGGATCATAGAATAGGCCAGGACAACATCAGATATATTGGGGTCAGTCACCAAGCGGGGTGATTTGCCGACAATTCGCCGCTGACGAGGTGGAGCTAACGCCAAGAGCTGGCGGGCCTTCCTATTTGGGTATAACAGCCAATTTATTCGAGTCAATTGACAAGTGTCTACTATGTGCCTCAATGGTGACAACATTGATAAATGTCTGCGTTCTTCAAAATTTTAGACTGTAGACTACCTTAACACATGTGCAAAATCAACGTTTTATCATACATCAAACTTGCGAATACGCCTCACAACCTCCTCCACATCCACCCAGATCCGCTCTCGATTCTGCAACCCCTTAAGCCTGTCCCAATTCAGTTGAATTTGTACAAGGACACGACGCCAGTCAGTGTTCATTCGAGGCAATTTCACCTGGTCGGGAATGATCACCGATAGAGGAAATCGGCACTCAGCAACTCTCTCAGCGGCATGCTCTGTATAGACATCTTCACACAAGGCCTTGGCATAGGTACTCCGTGCTCTGATAACAGACTTGATCTCGGCGGTTGTTATATTTGTCCAGAGTGAAGGGCGGTGTTCACATTCGGATTCATCCCATGCTTCCCATAACCAGGGCATTTCCCTGCGTACTAGTCTATACCACACACTGTTTGGGAGTTCAGTGAATGCTCTAGAAGCAATGCTTAAACTAGTGATATCACCAGAGCCTAAATAGTCGATAATTATAAGCCGTATTTCGACCGGAAGAACAGAGAGACAATCGGCCTGGCTATTGTGAGATGGGGAATGGCGATTCTTCGTGGATTGAGGCAACCTAGTCTTATCATATAGACCATATGAGGCACCCAGCCCTTCGTCCTTGACCGCGGAGAGAAGGATTTCCGGTAGCCCTGGCACATAAAGGGGATTGGAAACCAGATATTCGGTACCAGGCTTATGGGACCACCATTGCTCCTGTGAGGCTTTAACCTCTTTGGCTCGAGGAAATGATCCAAAGGCAGCCCAATCAAACTCAGCATTCCGCCAGGTCATCAGTCCAGAAATATTAATGCGCTGAAACTGGATTTTCGATTGTCGGCAGAATATATCAAAGCACCATGGATGGAAGGGCATGGCTATATCATCCGGTGATGTCACTGATGTGTTTTGCACCTTGCAATTGTCAGCTTCGGGTTATGCCTCCGACATGGTCCAAGAACGGATTTGGTAGATAAACCTACCCCCATGTACACATTGTCTGTCTCTACATCTTCTATCCCATTTCGCGCGGGCCACACTGTCGGGATGCCCGTATCACGCGACGGGGTTCCATCACATATCCCAGATAAAGACCAATCCGCATCAATCTCCCAGGGCTCATGTAGCTGGTCCGATTTCCATTGATCCCTCGGCGCAGTTTTATGTACCAGGAACTGGGCGGTGCGACAGCCTCTCGCCTCTTCGGGTGAGATAGCGTCAGCCGAGTAGCCCGACATTGGACTATCAAAATATCCAACGCGCAGTTGGGGATCTCCGCTCATGGCGCTTCTCGGGTCAAAGGTTTGCAACACCCAATTGTAATATATTTGAAGTTCAGAATCAGCATTTGCATCGCCACTGCTGCCTTCGCTGTTCCCCTTCTCATGCGCATCTTCATCAAGGCTCATACCATCGGTAGATTCATAATCAGAGTCATATTCATACGGATCATTCTCTCCATAATCCCCTTGGAATTGATAATCAGGATCTTGAGCCGTGTCATCATCGTCCGTAGAATTAATTGGGTCTGCCTCGTCGCAATGACCGTCTTGAGGACCAGGCACGTCTAACTCCCCAGATTTGAGGCGAAAGATGATATTGAAGCTCACACCACAAAGATGGCAGTAGAACTATAAGATTGTTAGGTTCGTTGTGTATGTACAAATGTAAGAAACTGTACCTCGGAATAGCCTACACACCATTGTCAGTCAGTGTTGTATCCACAGGATTACTTTGCACCGGACAACATAGATATCCACTTACCCATTATTACTTTTTTCAATTCACTAGCAATTTAGATAATCTTGCTCTCCGTTCTCTCCTTCCCATCAATTCACAAAAGAGAGAGAAGAAAAGGAGAAGTGCAAAGTGTTTAGTTTTTTTTCTCGTATCTGCGGCCCCATTTTAGACTAGAGCGATCCTGACATCTCTGATTGGCCAATCTGAGGGTATCTACCAAAAAGGCCATGGTGTTTAGAATGTTCGAATCTGCTAGTGATTTGGGGTATTGGAACCTCTTTTGGATCTGATAAACCCTCAAGGGTAGTCTACAGACTTGTTATGTACATTAACTTGGTCCGCATCGAGCGTTTCTCGCCGGACAGCATCCACATCAAATGCAGCCTTACTCTGAAATACAGTTTCCATCTCCTCAAGACTTTTCCCTTTTGTCTCTTTCACAAAGAAGTAGACAATAATCGCCATAATGATATCTAGGATTGCATAGAAAAGGAAAACATAACTGCCCCAGGAATTCATCATGTAGCGAGTCACCAGGGAGAAAAGGAAGTTGAAAAGCCACTGTGTTGATACTGCGACCGAGGTTCCAATCTCCCGAATTCGTGTTGGAAAGATCTAGCATACTAATTAGTGGTTGAACCGAAGATAGACCAGTGCAGTATGACTTGCCTCGGCAGTGTATGGCCACGGTAATGGGCCCCAGCTGAATTGGTAGATTGAATTCGTCAGGAAGATCATAGCCACCATGCCAATACCAGCTGGGGTTGCTTTTGCATCGGGCTCTGGCGTGGTTTCCTTAACGACTGTCACAATAACGAAGCACGCAGCCATCAACAGGGCTGAAATCCAAAGGGTCGGCTTCCGTCCCCACATCTCGGAGAAGAACAGAATATAGATGCCAACAGTGATGAACTTCTCCGCTCCAAAGAGACCAGTGATGAGAAGGGACTGGTTAGTGTTGTTGCCGACTAACAGTTTGAAGAACTGCGGGCCGAAGTAAGCCAGCGCGGTCATGCCAGTGCATTGCTGACCGCAGAACATGAAAACGGCGAGAAGCAGTCTGTACCGGTTGGCGGGCTCGAGGAGTTCGCGCTTATTAAAGCCCTCGGTTGCTCGTAACTCTTCCTCGAGTCCGACTCTGATTTCGTTGAACTCTACCTTCACTTCAGGGCCTATTGACGGGGATTGCTAGTTAGTCCTATGCCTTGTTATGATTTTCTGGGCTATATTTCCTTCCTTACCTTCACTAGCTCGCATCCACTTCAAGCTCTCCCATGCTTCGTCAAAACGGCCTTTCTTGGCCAACCAGCGTACACTTTCGGGCATACCAAAGAGGCCGAGGGCAAGAACTCCAGCTGGCACCATCTGGAGACCAACGGGAATCTGCCACTGCTTTGAAGACACAGGTAGTGTGATCTTGACGGCATAGTCAATCCAGTAGCTCAGCATCACACCTAGTGCAAAGAACCATTGCATCCCTGACCCGAGCTTGCCACGAATTTCCTTGGGTGCCATTTCCGCGTTGTATGCTGGGACGACCGCAGTGCCTGCACCGAGACCGAGACCAGCGACAAACCGCCCAATATAGAAACAAACAAGTGAGTGTGACGGAACCACCTGTAACACCACACCGAGACAGAACACGGCCATCGCTGCCTGGATTGTTTTCTTTCGCCCGCATCGTTCAGACACCCAGAAGATCCCCAAGGCTGATATGAATGCGCCTGCATTTTGCAAGCTTACCATCACCGCACTTACGGTTGTCTGATCTTTGTAACCAAAATCATTGATGTAGGACTTGAACTCCAGGATACCACCTATGCATCAAGACTGTTAGCGATGATCACTACCCAAACGGGGCTTTTTTCTCACTTACCAACAATGCCAGTATCATACCCAAACAAGAAACCGGCTGTACAGATGAAGTATCCAAATAAATACGCTCGGAAGGCCCCGAGCCTGGTTCCTGGTAAACCCATGCTGTGCGACGTAGTATACACACACTACGCAAATGCCGAAAGACAGGATGAAAATAATTTTTTTTTTTTTTTAAAAAAGGCTTCAGGCACACCTTCATGTTTTTAAATCTATAAGGTCTCCAATGCTTAATTACCCGATCTGCAGTCCAGCTGAGATACAGCACGCAACCCATTGTGTCGGCTACGCCATAGCACGCCATGTAACCGAGCGTTTTGTCTGTCGAACATTAGAGGCCTAAGCTAAGCCAAGAATATGCCACAAAATACAAAAAAATGCCAGAATTTTCCTATAAACATGGTATATCCACTCGGTATGGTCTATAAATTCAGGGCAATTCCAAGTTGAGCCTCTCCGCATTTTGCCAAGACACCCCGTATCACCCCTTTCGGCCTGTCGCTTCGGTCGTCTCGACCCAAATATCTGTCCTATTATAACATATACTATTAAATTTGATAATACTGATTACACATTTGCGTAAGAAAACAAAGGAACAAGGGAGGTAAGAAAAAAAGAGCTTCCCCATAGGCCACAGCTTGAGACTAGGAAATCTTGTGCCGCTTCACGCCCGTCATCTTCTGACATTAGGCAGAACGCGCGTCTTCCGCACCCCTCAACACATGCATCAAAGTCATACATGAGGCTCGACCTATACGGTTTGAGTCAGGAAAGCTAAAATGGCCCCCGCGTCGGTTAGTCCATTATGTGGGTGCAACATAGTTCTAGTGGCTGAGCGATATCCCTTACCGCCGAACGGCTCAGATCGTGATGAGACGGAAACCACACTGAGATGTGCTGGGTCAAAGTTACTTGTGGGAATCTCGGCGTCAGCTTGCTGGTTTATCCACTGCTCGCCCTGGGACCGGTTGATCATATATCTTGTAACCGCCCCTCTGGTAGGAAGTAGGAACATGTGATATCTATATAATTCTGCGGCATAAATTCAGTCACCTCATGTTTCAACTTTGGTGACATAGATGGCCTTACTACAGTGGCTGGTACCTATATGCCCCACGCAAGATGATATAGTACACGAAGGGTCCAGAAGTTCCACCAAAGCATACCGGTTTGCCACTGCAATCTGTGGCTTGACATGGTTACCCGATAGCCGAGGTGGTCCCTTACTTGCTATTGGTGACGAGCTTGTTTATGGTCAGCCAGGCAATGTTCCTGGCTAGCCCCGGAGAATGTGGATACAAAATCAACGACTCTGGTAATCTTTCCTGTTTTATTTAAATATTGCAAGGTGGGAGGCTTGGGGCATATTGTTGTTAGCCTATGTGCTCATTGTGAATGGACTAACAACTCGGCCTTTAGTCAATTCCTGTGACTAAAGATGATTGGAGTATAGCAAGTTCAGCTATCAAGTCCCCGACTATCGTGACTAAGCTATTACACGAAATCCTCTGCATACTCCTCATACTCCTGGGTAAAGTCCTTTATGTTGAACTTGTTTTCCAGCTTCTTGCGTGATAGAATATTATTCCCAGATTCAATGCATCCCTGCCGAAATGTCGCGAATAGTGCCGGGCTCCTCGAGCAATGTGGAATAAAACGTTGATTATCTCCTGTTACCATGGCTCCTTTGAAAGCTTGATAAACAACACCGGGGTCCTGGGTCAGGTCTACCGTCTCGCACTGTCCAAAATCCAAGAGATACAGCTTAATGGCCCGGTGCTGGAACTCTGGCCTATAGTATTCTCCCTGGCCTCTGTCGCCGATGTGCCAAGCACAAACTCCACATCATCACCGTTGATAGCGGCGCCCCAGTGCAGGGTTGCATAAACTTTGCCCATTGCGATTGCAAGCGGGACGGTCTCGATGCCAATTTGCTCCATTGGCTCAAGGTATAGAGGAAAGTTCCGCAATAGGCTGTTGTTGTTGTTTCCAATAGTACCGTTGCGCTTGCCGAGGTAAACCTGGACGAGACAGTGCTTATTTTGAGGGTTATTGAGGATGGCTTCGATTTCAGTCTTATCGAGAGCGCAAAACTGTGAGATCAAGGCTTTGCGTACGACCTTCGGTAATGGAAGAATCCGTTCCATTATCACAAGGTCGCCACGCATGCGATACGCCTGGGGAGCTTTTGGTAGGATTTCATCCCAGAACGTGTCGTTCTCTTTCCGAGAGATAAAGTTGAAAGCCTTCGGAACATGGACTTCCCTGTTGATGGACTGGTAATGCTCGAATGCGATCGACACATCCCGGTGGATCGTATACTCATGATAGAGGTTTGATGGTTGCTTTTCGTTTCCTGGACTTTCTTTTTTTCAGAGCCAGAGGCTTCCCGACCTGTTCGAAAACAGCTCCCTGTAGACCAGCTCCGATTTGATTTAGTTCCTGCAAGGCGGGTCGAGTACGCGCAGCCTGAAAAAGGCGACTGAAGGAAGATGTCGTCGAAATAACAGATTTCAGGCTAAGAGATTATTGGAGAATGACCGAGTCTGTCATCTGTCCAAGATTTGTTGCTAGAAGTAGTCGGGGTAGCGCGTTGAACAAAGGTTCTGAATTTGACGATTCATTATATTTGACTCCCTGTTGGGCCATGATAACCTTGTACTGACAGATGGTTCAGCCTTAGTGTCTACATGGTATAGGATATTGTTTGTAGGCGCTTGTAAGCGTATAACTGTACGTGGGTTCACTGTTTATTCCCCAGTGATGTAGGAGCGTCTTCATTTTTTAACCTAATTTTCTTATGGCAGTTGTATCTTTTGTTCACTTCCTTGTTTCCTCATGTCACCTTTATCTACCATTATTTCCCCACCCGCAACTATCCATCTTCATATCTCTTTCTCTTAACTTAATATCTCTATCGGATCATTTTCAACAAAGGCAAACAAAGAAAATCCCCTTCACATTCTACTTAAAAGCTAAAATAACAAATATTGCCAAGTTTAGTTGACCACCAACCGCCACTCTGCTAATCCCGCTCACTCCCTCGATGCCTCCCAATCAGGTTCTAATAGCCATCGGCACCTTCTACGATCGAGTTGATCAGCTGGACTCCTGGAACACCGATACCACCCCAATTCACTTCAAGAATAAGGAGACCCTCGCAGCATACATCAAGGCCAGCAAGAATCCTTTTGGTCGACACATCGCTACACGAGACCAGGTGCTCTGCGTTCTGCCCCGTAGCCTTCTTTGGAGAAGCTCGGTCTTTATATCCACACGGGGTGATGGAAGAAGAGAGCTTTAAGACAACTGAGGTAACTAAAAATTTGAAATATTAAACCTACCTCTCTAAGTAAAAGCGTATGGGTATGTAATAGAAGCCTAAGGTCGCTATTGTCTATCTCACTTTCTTCTTCAAACGACACTCACTCTTTTCACACTTCACCTTTTTCTCACCTATCAACTTCACTTCCTGTCCTTCTCTCACCATCCTCCACATCTTCTCATCTCTCTCTCTCTGTCTCTCTCAGCCTCTCTCAGCCTCTCTCAGCCTCTCTTTTCGTCATTTTATCATCGTCATACTATCAACAAACGAAAAGGCAAATCCCCTTCCTACTCCTACTAATTAGCAAGCTAACCTGCGTTGTTGACTTTAGACCACCGACTTCCAACATGTTTATCCCGCTTTCTGCGATCCCCCTTCGAGCTGGTTCCCCAGTCGCTACTCTTCCCCATCCGAACAACCATCTGCGAAAGCTTGGCGCCACCTACAACCCAGAGCTTCCCATCAGCATTGCCTTTGGACTTGTCAGTCTGCAGCAAGGCTGGAAGCCAGGATCTAAGACCTGGAAACAGAACTGGAATGCCTGTATGAATGCCGAATATGACCGCCTGATTGGATACCGTGTAGCCAACCTGGCAACATGGCAGGAGCTGTGTGCCAAAGTAGGCATCAACGATTCATTCACTTCCATCAACCAGTGCAAGAAGGTAACGTCCCCACCCCAGATGATTTGATGCCGCCAACTCACTGTTGTAGGCTCTGGTGCGTGTGCACGTCAACCTTGTTGATCTTCTAGATTGTTGGAACGCAGACCACACCCCAACTCGATTCAAGAGCAAGAAGGCCCTTGCTACATACACTGAGATACATAGCAAGTTCTTTGGTCGTCATATCGCCAAACAGGACAAGGTCCTCCGGGTCCTCCTTCGAAAGCTTCTCTAAGCCCGTGCAATGGTATGTCTCTTCGAAGACGTTGGATTCCTACGAGTGCACTACAGCTGGGAACGAAGAGATCGTCTTGGGATTCACAGATAGTGAGAGTAATAAAACCAACATATTCAACGATTTATATTGTATCTGTAACTCTAGTCCGTAGCGATTTCGAGAGTCTACCTACATGGTCTCAACTCTGCATTGGATATTGTCGCACCTTCCTCCCCAACTGCACCTTGAATGTCCCTTCCCAAGTGCAAATCAACTATCGCGATTTGCTTTTCCGATTATCAAGTGAGTATTATTGCTAATTGACCTCGAGACCTGCTTACAAAAACAATTTTATCTTATTTCCAGCGGATCAAAGTGAGCATTCCCATTTTTCCTACGTTCGAATCACCAACTATGATGTAAGCCTTTTCCAATGTCAAGGGAAGCCAGAATTTGGGCAATCGTTATCTTTCAAGTATCACCATATATCTTCCAAATACATTTGATTCAATGTATCAAACATGTTATAATCACTGGGTAGACAATTGGCCGAGAATGCAAAGCCGAGGTTGTTGATGAACAGCTCATCGGGGTTAGAGGCTGCCGCAAGTCCAATAATTCCGTTGTTGTTATCGTGATGATAAGTATTACTCGAAGCAGGAACATCAAGCCAATTAGAATTTGGAACTGGAGGGGCCAAATGGGTGTCTTGGCCATGCAAGTCTTTCGGGTTGGACAGACCTTGGAGTGGCTCAGTCTGGGCTATGGGCCCTACATAGTGATCCACGTCTGCTGGTTGATATGCAGTTGTGCAAATACCATTGCATTCCAATGGAGGGGCAGGGGGCATATGATCAATATCGCAGTTTAGTCGTTCGCAATATAATTTCTCAAGGTTCCGTCCGATACGCTTTGCAATATCCCAGGAGGTTGAGAGTTCCCGCAGAACCTCAAGGCAGAGCCCCACAGCTGTCTGTGGTGACGGGCCTCGTGAGGCCTGGTTGCTTGTACCAGATGTTGTGGCGTAATCAACGCAGCATTTTTCTATGATGAGCGATGCCGCTGATAGCATGCAGTGTGTGGCTGTTATAGGGCTCAGCTTGAAGCTGCCAAATGTCTGTCTATATTTCTGGGCCACAATGCAAATTCCTCGGATTGAAGTGCTGCATATTGTCGTAATTTTCTGTCTGCAGACAGACTCTGGATCATTGTTGCTGCTGTTTTGTTGTGTCTGTGGGTCAGTGTGGTTGCCAACATCCCGACTGGCGGACTGATTGCTCATAAAGGGCACGCAAAGTAGAATGCACACAGTATGGTATACCATGCATAAAGTATAGGCGTGCGGAAATCGGGAGGGACCAGATGGACGGTCAACTTTGAGCTCTGGGGCAAGATCATAGTACCATGTTTTGAGTTCAAGCACACAGGAGTCGAAAAATGCAAAGCGTTGTTTTGGTTGTAGGAGGGGCTTCGGAGACCAACTAGGGTGATATAAGTCAGTGAGACAGATACATGGGAAAAATGATATGGTAGACTCACAATGAAAGCAGGACTTTCTCGAATATACGACACAGGTCAATCATTGCCCTATGCAGCTGTACCACGTCTCTTTGAGAAGCTGCCCTTAATTTTCCATTACCAGTTGATGAAGGAAAATAGACATCCGAGGCACATAAGGGGAACGGTTTGTTGACGACACCCTGGGAGTCCTGTGGGACAAATGAAAGTGAGTATGATGTGATGCCAAAGAAGGAAATCAAAGATTATTCGTGGAACAGCATACCAGTAATGTGCACACCCTGCCTGTGTAGCTTGCTGACAGTTTGTCATGGCAATAAAGAGCCCAGTAGATCTGCCTTCGGAGCTCAATTTCCATGGGTGGAAGAGAAACTGTCCCGGAAAGGACCGAAGGATCCATGTTGAAACCCATATCTAGGGCCAGTCGATTGGCCATGCCTTGATGGAGCCACCCTGCAGCATCAGACCCCATTGCCTGTCAGTTGTTAGTCTGATTGGTTTTTCGGGTAAAAGTCTGTGGTATAAGACTCACGATATAGGCCATGCCCATAATTGCCAATGACTGGATTGTTGTGATCTTGGGCCACCTGAGATCGTTTTGAATCAATCTTTCCGCCCTCTCGAGGAATATCTTGCCGGCTGTGTTTGAATCATTCGGGTCTGATCTCACTTCTATTCGGTCGCAGTACCGTGACCCTAAAGCGAGGATGCAATTTAAAAGAAGGGGGCTGAAGTATCGCCCGCCACTTCTCATGGAATCTCGAAACAGTTTTTCGTTCACGACCTGAAGCCATGGCTGTTCCCACTCAAAATACAGGTCGATCAAGTGAGATTGAAGCCCGTATTCTGGAGTCCAGCTTTCTTCTGCCGCGCCTGTGCCCCCTTTCAGTGGTGTTTCACAAGTTTGCATAGAAGGACAATCGGACTGATATGCCTCTTCGTTGGGCGAATCTAGAAATTATTAGCAACCCTCTATTGTTGGACGGGAAAAGGGCTACTTCAGCTTGCCTTTTGACGAAGATCGAAACAGCAACCGCCCACTTGTCGGCCCGAAATACCGTACTTCGCCATCTTGATCGAAATTTAATGACTCGTCAAGCGTCAATGCGCCGTCAAACGTAGTAGACAAGTCATCAACATTCGAGCTAGCCGGGGTCCACTCGGTGTCAGGTTCATTTTCCGTCAGTAGTTGGATGGCGGCATCAGGATCAATGCCATGGGTTTGCAGTACACGCTCCAAGAGTTCAATTCGATTCCGCAGCATGACTACATAAGACTTGGGCGCTGGCTGCCGCCCGTCCTCTGCTGTAGAGTACTCGCATTGAACGCCACGGTCAAGGCAGCGAGAGCAAGACGGTCGAACTCCATCACACTATTTCTATGTTAACACAGAACTGGGGTGATAAATTGTGGAACACTATCATCATACCTTAGCTCGTCGTTGTCGACATGTCTCACAGGCTCGGGAAGTATACTTTCTACCCGGTCGCTTGCGCCTAGCAGAGTCATCTGCCGGTGCCGCGGGCATAGCTGGATGATATGCAAAAAACAGATGGGATTACTTTTGTCCAGTAGACTCTAGTATCATGGTATCCTTAGGATTAGAGGATGTCAGCTATTTGGGATGGAATGTTTGCCATGAACCTGTGGACTCAATCTGACATTACAAAGCAAGCTTGCCCCACTGCCTCAGGCGCCAAGGCATAATGGGTCCTTAATATTCAGGCCACAATCTCTGAAAGTTGCCCCAGGTATTGTTCTACCCATAACTACATATGTACTAGTAGTTATGTTTGTATGTACCAGATTTTAGACCGTAGATGTGGATTTCCTAATCGGGGTGCCGCCGCCTTATGAGGGGGTTTAGGGTCCTGCTCAATGACTATTTCACAGCACAGGGTGATTGACGTATTCGGCAAGCGAGTGGCCATCTCCGAAGACACATAGTAATTACGATAAATTCCATCTCGAATCTCAACAACCACGTTGTTATTTGATTTCATTCATTTCGATAGCTACCTATAAGAGTTCTCGACGCTATATATCAGTTTCAAGAAAATCAAAATGTAATTTATCGCAATTACTATGTGTTTTCGGAGATAGCCACTCGCTTGCCGAATACGTTACTCAGTATACCCACCTGGGCAAAGGGTATGATTAGTAATGCTCAGGTTACCTACCTAGGTACTCGCTTAGGCGTACTCACCCCGCGGCTTGAAAATCAAGGCATAGTTGGAACAATTTAACCACGTGACATGTGCATCATTTATCAGCCATCTACTTAGTTATTCTATAATACAACCTAGGTAGCATCAGCAACTAAAAATCCTAACATTGATCATCTTTTTTTCTTTTTTGGATAGCCCTACCTTCAGCAAGGTTATTCACTCATATCGCCTCTGAGAAATGATGAGATGTGAAATTATATAGCTTGTGCCTTCTCCTAATCCCGGCTATGGCCAGGATAGCTTGCTTTATATTTTCACTGAAGTAAGAGTTACGGCATACATTCCTATAGATAGGTATCGGCACAGGAGATGTTTTCGTTATAAGGTACATCAACCCTATATATATATTCTGTCAAGCTACTAACGCCTAACAACATATAGACCTCGTTGTATTTCGTTTTAATTCTTCTGACGAGCTATGGAAGATCGGATGACTATTAGAATCTACAAAGTAGATGAGCTCATGAAAGCACAATATGTGTATTGTGGAAAATGTGTAAGACCATTGAGAGGGGAGGTAATAGAGAAAGACTATATGAGTGTACTATTATGAAACACACAGTCATGTGCCTACTGAGAGATATCAACAGATATACTGTTCTTGCATTTTATAGGTAACCAAATGGGCAAGGAGAACCCCAAAATCGCCGCGACTGAGGTCCGCGAGGGCGCAGCGGATCAGCCGATCAACCTTTCGTGGGGATAATGGGTTGGTGTGCTGATACAGGCTATGCGAGCTAATGGGGTCCGCCGCGGCGATCGTATCGCAGTATGCGCGGCTAAAATGACCCACACGCTACTCATATTCCTTGCGTCAGCCGCATTCGGAGCCATCTTCACATAGATGGCGAGCGATCTAGGCCGGAAGGGAATTTTGGACCGGATGCTACAGCTTTGGTCAGGCTGGTACCGTAGGTAAGGTGAGCCTTTTCCTACCAGTTATTACCACATAAGAGCTTTCTAACCATTAGACCCGGCTAATACACCTGGGAATATCGCCACGGTGCGTCCATGAACTCCAGCAAGCAGATATCAAACCACGGGACCTTATTGACCTAAGCGCCCTACAGGTAGTGTTAAGCACGGATTCAGTATTACGGGACAAAGTATTTGAGTGGCTTTACGACCTCGCATTCCCACCATTTACTCGTCTCAATAACACTTCTGGGATAAGCAATCCGTTGGCCCTAGTGTATGTTGGAGGATGCGCTGGATACAGCGTAGGTGTCTCTATGAATGTATATGACTCTGCTGTCGAAGGTACTGAGGGCA